GCCTCAGCCAACCCTGAGGTAGAACTATGACCACACCTCCATTACACATATGAGCCATTAAAAGATTGAAATTAAGGTTGACAACATTTACTCCTTCAATTGACACCACACATTTTAAAATGATAGAACCTGGTAGTCACTCCCACTTTTCCCCTGCTACGCCCATAACTGATTCAGTTAGCCTAGCTTAGCATAAAGACTAGGAGAAGAGAGGAAACTGTTAGCAGAGCCCAAATAGAAGAGAGAATTAGTCTGACTAATAGCTCTGTAATCTCACTACACCTAAACTCATGCACTGACACACACACACACACACACACACACACACACACACACACACACACACACACTAAATGTTGCTTCAGAGGAACTAACGCCACATTAAGCTGCTTTACTAACAATCCAGTTGACATAACAGACTATGTTTGATTCAAACACCCTGAAGTTCACTACAATGAGCCCAGAGTTTTGTCTCTCAGGCAGGCTGTCCTGTCTCCTGTGAGTGGCCTTACAAATACAAACATACACTTCTGTGTGCCAGGTCCCCCAGCAGTCTAAGCTTAGAGCAGAATGACCGGAGCTGGTCCAAGCATGAGCCAGACCTAACTCTAAGCTTTTCCAAAAAGAGAAGTTTGAGCATACTCTTAAAATTACAAAGGGTGTCTGACTGCTCCAAAGGAGAAGGGCTTGATAATTGAAGGCTCTACCTCCCATAGTACATTTATAGACTAGGTACCACGAGCAGGCCTGATAACTGAAGGCTCTACCTCCCATAGTACATTTATAGACTATAGGTACCACGAGCAGGCCTGATAACTGAAGGCTCTACCTCCCATAGTACATTTAGAGACCGTAGGTACCACGAGCAGGCCTGATAACTGAAGGCTCTACCTCCCATAGTACATTTAGAGACTGTAGGTACCACGAGCAGGTCTGATAACTGAAGGCTCTACCTCCCATAGTACATTTAGAGACTGTACCACGAGCAGGCCTGATAACTGAAGGCTCTACCTCCCATAGTACATTTAGAGACCGTAGGTACCACGAGCAGGCCTGATAATTGAAGGCTCTACCTCCCATAGTACATTTATAGACTAGGTACCACGAGCAGGCCTGATAACTGAAGGCTCTACCTCCCATAGTACATTTAGAGACTGTAGGTACCACGAGCAGGCCTGATAACTGAAGGCTCTACCTCCCATAGTACATTTATAGACTATAGTACCACGAGCAGGCCTGATAACTGAAGGCTCTACCTCCCATAGTACATTTAGAGACCGTAGGTACCACGAGCAGGCCTGATAACTGAAGGCTCTACCTCCCATAGTACATTTAGAGACTGTAGGTACCACGAGCAGGCCTGATAACTGAAGGCTCTACCTCCCATAGTACATTTAGAGACTGTAGGTACCACAAACAGGCCTGATAACTGAAGGCTCTACCTCCCATAGTACATTTAGAGACTGTAGGTACCACGAGCAGGCCTGATAACTGAAGGCTCTACCTCCCATAGTACATTTAGAGACTATAGGTACCACGAGCAGGCCTGATAACTGAAGGCTCTACCTCCCATAGTACATTTATAGACTATAGGTACCACGAGCAGGCCTGATAACTGAAGGCTCTACCTCCCATAGTACATTTATAGACTATAGGTACCACGAGCAGGCCTGATAACTGAAGGCTCTACCTCCCATAGTACATTTATAGACTATAGGTACCACGAGCAGGCCTGATAACTGAAGGCTCTACCTCCCATAGTACATTTAGAGACTGTAGGTACCACGAGCAGGCCTGATAACTGAAGGCTCTACCTCCCATAGTACATTTATAGACTATAGGTACCACGAGCAGGCCTGATAACTGAAGGCTCTACCTCCCATAGTACATTTAGAGACCGTAGGTACCACGAGCAGGCCTGATAACTGAAGGCTCTACCTCCCATAGTACATTTAGAGACCGTAGGTACCACGAGCAGGCCTGATAACTGAAGGCTCTACCTCCCATAGTACATTTAGAGACCGTACCACGAGCAGGCCTGATAACTGAAGGCTCTACCTATGATGATGTATTTGCTCTACAGAAACTGATGCAGCACGTGGAGGAGAGGATGGTGGGCGGTCTCTCTCATCGTTGCTCCATCAGCATCCATAGAGACATCAGAGCCGCTCAGGGTCTCATGATCGGTATGACGTCTCACTCTGGTCACATGATATGTCCCCGGCAGGTGGATGTGATGTCGTATCCTCTCTCTGTCCTCAGACAGCGTACGGCCTCTGCTGTCTACGTCCCTCCAGGAGCAGGTCTCTCCTCCCTCCACCTCCTTCGAGTTGACCTATGACCTCGGCCTCACTGCCCTCTGCGCAGATTTCCACGAAAACATTGAGTTCCAGTTCAGTCTGGGCTGGACCTCCCTTGTCACACGCTTCATTGGAGCCGCCAATGCCAAGCGAGCACTGAGCGGCCCTGAGCACCGCCTGCAGGTGATGACATCACATTGACGGCCTTTTAATGAGAACTCGTCATCTTCATCATCATCATTATCATTTCTCTCTGCAGGAGAGCTCCTTTAAAGACGAGATGGTGGTGTCCATAGCAGCAAGGCTGGTCTCCGTCACCTCGCGGGCGTCCATGTCGGTGCTGGTGATCGGAGGAGTGGTGCGTCCTGCAGTATCACGTTGAGCTACTGATCCCTGATTGATTACTATATATACTAAATGTCTCCAAACATTCAGAGCAACAGCACAACAGCAGAGAGCTCAACCTGATCGCAAACCAATCAATGATTAATCAATACAACCATCAATATACCCGTCAGTACAACAATCCATTCAACTATTGACAAGAATCACTTTAAACATCAAGAAGTCAAAATCATTGGAGCTCAAAAACTCTTTGAAGATCAACTACATTTGCAGTCTGTAAAAACCGGTGTTGTCGTTTAAGTCTCAGGTGTGTTTTGTGCTGCAGGTGTGGCGATCAGTGGGCTGGCGTGTCATCGCTCTCTCCCTCTCTCTGTATGGTCTGATCTACCTGTACGAGAAACTCACCTGGACAAACGCCAGCAGAGAGCGTGCTCTAAAGAAGCAGTTTGTGGAGCATGCGGCTCAGCGCCTGAAAGCCGTCATCTCTGTCAGCAGCTCTGCCTGCAGCCAGCAGGTGTACAAGTAAGGCCCCGCCCCCTTGAAGAATTATGTACCTTCATTCAGTGGCTGATGAAGCCTGAGACTCACATGTTGTGTTTGTGTTTGAGGGAGCTGGCGTCCACGTTCAGCCGTCTGACACAAAGAGTCGACCTGAGCGAAGCTGAGCTTGAGGGAAACATCCGGCAGCTGAGCTTCAGGATCCAAAGACTGGAGAACATCCAGAGGAGGTCCAAGGCCTTCAGGTCAGAGTTCACACCTGAGGGATAGGGGGCATTTCACACCAGGCTTAGATTACTAAGTTTCCAATCTTTGTCCTATGTAAGGCTAGATGTTTCCCTGCCTCAAATGCAGTGCTAAGCTAGGCTTTAAAGGAGCAGTAAGTAACTCTGACCCCTAGTGTTTAACATGGAGATCGTTTTATCCTGTTTCATCTCTTCATAGAACTCTAACAGTCAGATGTATAAAAATAGAGTTTGCATTAGTGTTAGGTGACACAACATAAACTTTACAGGCTGCAGACATAAGATACTATCTTAAAGGAGCAGTATGTAACTCTGACCCCTAGTGTTTAAAATAGGTACTGCAGTCTAAATTCTAACCATCATATAGAGCTGTCTCCCCCCTCCTCTCTAGAGTGGATGTTCACTCAGGTCACCATGTGGTGGACTCTGAAGCTTCAGTGTTTATCCAGCTCTGCATGGGTCTGTAAACCTTTCTGTGTTCTAACCTCTCTCCATTTTTCAAAAGCATCTCCAATATTGATCCTAGTTTGAGCACGTTTCTGCTCGTGGAGCTTATTAGAAACATGCAGAGGCATGCTTGCAATGTCTGTGCTAAGCTAGGCTAGATGTTTCCCCATGTTCCAAGTGTTGTGCTGAGCTAAACTTAATCCCATCACCAGTCTTTGTGCTAAGCTAGGTTTAAGTGCTTCAGTGCTTCTAGTCTTTTTTGGTTAAGCTAGGCTAAAAGACCAACTGTGTTTTCAGTCTTTGTGCTATATTATAGATATAGATATTTCTCTCCACTCAAAATGTTGTGCTAGGCTAGGCTAAAAGCATGTACCAGCTTCCAATCTTTGCTCAGTGCTAGACTAAAAGTCTTTCTGTACTTCAGTCTGTTTGTTAAGCTAGGCTAAAATAACATGTGCTTCCAGTCTTTGTACTAAGGCTGCTTAGAGTTTTCCTGTTTCCATTTTCTTGTTCAAGATTGGCTGGACGTATTAACTAACTTTCAATCCTACCTCCAAATGAAGCTAAAAGTTATTCTCTCTACCAGACTGTGAGCTTAGCTAGGCTAAAAGTATTAACCAGCTTCTTTAATCTTTGTTTTAAACTGGGTTTTATTGTTTTCTCATCACACGTCATTGTTCTCAGGTCGTTTGAAAGTACATGTACACCGAATGTACCCCCGGTGTACATGCTAAGCTAGGATAACTGCAACAGGACTCTGTAATGAACAAAGACAGAAAACAGAAACGCTTCCAGGCACATCACAGTGTTTCCTTCAATCCATATGCTAATTTTAGTTTTCATCAGTTATTGATGGATCCACTTTAAAGTCAGGAAATATTAAAAGTGTCAAGAGTTATTTCTGACCATCAACGAGCCAAACGCAAAGTGGTTCATCTCTTCCATCCAATCAATCTGAGCGGTTCTACTTGAAGGGATTCATGAGGACGACCTGGAAGCTCTTAATCAGTTTCAAGGATCCTTGAAAGCCTTCCAGGATCTTTAAATGTATAATATGCAACTTTCACAGCTGATGTCCACGGGGCTGAGCACTATATCAATATATTCTTAAACAAGATATGGTATAAGACAACATCGTCGATGTCATTGTAGTTTATGTCAACAACAGGAAATGCAGGAAAGGTTCAGGAACGGGTAGTTTACCGTGAGCAGACTTGGTTGTTATTACTTCTTTACAGAAAGAAATATCAAGATGGTGTATCCCCATTCACCTAAGAAATATCAAGATATGATTATTGGTCCATATCGCCCAGCCCAAGAAGGTCAGAAGTTCTCAAATCAAAACAAAGCTGTCCCTTCAGCGCCCCTCCTCCCTCAGTGTTCCCCTGCCCCACCATCCATCCATCTTACGTTTATCAGGGGTCAGTTTGCAGTGGCAGCAGACCCTCTCCCCACCATCTTTTCCCAGCTCCTCCTGGGGGATCCTGAGATGTTCCCAGGCCAGACGGGATATATAATCCCTCCAGCGAGCTCTGGGTCTGCCCCGGGGTCTCCTCTCAGTTGGGTGTTCCCAAAAAACCTACGAATTGTACTCTTGCAACAAATGCCTCTGCTAACACTTATCAAAGAGCTGATACACCTTTATGAAGCACAGTACAGGTACAGGTAGAACGTTCAAAGTCAAATGAAATACCTGAGAGCAGTAAAAGTACCTCAGACTCTGCAGTCTTATCTCGATCCTGTTGTTTCCACTTTAACTACAACTGGTTCCTTTGTGTGTTCAGGAACAGAGCTACAGAGCTGGAGACTCAGCTGGAGGCCTTCTCAGTTCAGTACCTGCAGTGACACTCAAAACACACCTGGACTGTGGCGCCCCCTGCTGGTGGACTTCATCATCACACACTACCTGCTCTCCCCTCAGGTCTAAAACTGTGACTGATTCCCCGCAGACAGAGGCGGACACCGGGTCTCTAACTGAAAATCATTTCAGGGTTAAACTGTTCGTCCCTCGATCAATAATCAATAAACTGGAAACTAAAAATCAAACAGATGGTGGGGCGGTCTTTGAGCACAAACACGGTTCAAACGAGCGGGTCAGATCAGTGTCATTACTTATTGAATTGTGTTGTCTGAGTGCTGAAGCTAGGGGGCGCTGCAGCACAACACAACCACAGGGCAACGTGTCTGTAATAATAAACACCCCGAACAACAACTTTATTCTGAAAAGATGTAACAGGAAACAGAAGTTGATCTACTGACCTTTGACTGTGAATCTTCTCTCTGCAGCTTTTAGAAAATGTGCTCAGACCAAAACACACGGGAACAACATTTACTAGAGTTGGGTATAAAGTGGCTGACTTTGGGCCGTCCCACAGTAAAGATGGTGAATCGTGGTCATATTCGTGGTCACGGCTCCTGAACTGTGGTGCTAGGTCGCTCTGTGAGAGAGGATCAAAGATGGCGATTCTCACGGTCTTGTTACCAAAGTTGGCCTGCGACAAATATCTCACTGTCAGAAATTTAAGACGAGCATCTCACTTTTTGAATTTTTCTACGATCAGCTAACCAACCAATAGGAACGCTGCACTAATCGGCGCCAGAGCTGTCGAAAGTGTACACGAACAACAACGTGACTTATCACAAATTGGCCTCTTTTCCACTCGCCACGATCGTTTCTACATCTTTCTATCCCTCCTCTTTTTCCTTTCTTTTCTTTGCACGTGAACGGTGCTAAGCTCACTTTCTGCTGATCGCCATGGCAACCTCATCTCGTTCATGTTGACGCACACTAGCCCTGTTCAGACTGTTGTTTCAAGCCGTCTAAATCACACAGTCTGCAGGAGGATTTAGGGACTTCAATAATTTATTTCAATCAAAGTTTTTTAGCCAAGATAAGAAATCTGCACGACCCTGTGTCGATGAAGTCTGTCAGCGTTTTGATTCGCTGACGTCCTGATGCTGCGTCGGCATGTATTCAGGCTTGTATTCTTCGATATAGACCAGACTAATCATGATTCTGGACTTTTTATAAATCTCCATCCTGATTCAGCATCCGTTGTTTGCGTGTTGCAATAAAATACGGAGAAAAAGATGAACTAGTTGCTAACTTTTGTTGGTTTGAAAACGGATGTGTGTCATGAATACTGGATTTTTAAAACATTAAAAACTTTGTGTTGTGGAAGTCGTTCAGCTTTGACATTCTCCTGACGTCCTGATGATGCATTAAAGATGGTCAAACACGACTCCATTAAACGTGTGTGTGTGTGACCTGATCAGTGAAGCTTCAGGATGTGACGAGAAGACGACCCATCCTCCTGCAGCCACCAGAGGGCGCTACTGCTCCTACACCTGTAACTGACAGCGAATCTCACCTGACCAACACGTTTCACAAACTTCTTCATCTCTCCTGTGAAACAGGAAGCTGACACATGATGTCATCAGGTGAGTCACGCCTGAAGAGTTAACTCACAGGAGGGGGAAGAAGAAGCAGACCAGGGTGTTCGAGGATCTGATCACGGACCTGACGATGCTTCTCTTTCTCTGATTGGCTGCAGCATCATGACTATTTATTCTTTGACACTTTAAAGTAAAATAAAATAGAATTGAGTTTCTAGAAATATTGACGTGTTGAGTCTCTTGATGCTTCAGAGAGATTCATGTTGATATTTCTTTTTTTTTTTAACAAGATCGACAATTAAAAAACAAACAGACACAGACGTAAAACAAAAAAAAGTCACAATAAATTTGTTCCTAAAGTCACATTTACAAAACACAAACTAAGGGAAACCTACAGGTAAGATTAGATAAAGACATTTTAAAATCTGTTCCCACAGTTTACAAATCCAATCTTAGAGTTTAAAGTTTACAAAACCATGTCCACAGATTTATTTGTAAACTGTGTAACAGATTTTAGATCAGCTTTTAATTTTTTCTGACCTGAGCCTTCAGATGTACATAGAAACTAAATATTAAAATATATTTGATTTGACTAAATCTACAGCTTAGCATTAGAATCCAACAGCAGCCGGACGGATTTGTTTCTCTTAATTTAAATTCACACTGAACACAATGATTCATTATTTTACACAAATGAAGTTCGGACAGTTTTCAGGTTCTGTAGGATTTAATTTCTAAAATATCAGTTTACATGTGAGTATTATCTGTACAGACAGTCACTTAACACAAAGACATGAAAACAAAAAGCAGGATTCAATCCACTGTGTTCAGACCAGAAGGGAACCAGAACCCGACCAGACCATAACCAGGTCCCAGTCTGAGGACCTGTTAGCTAGGATCAGTACCAGGTCTCAGTATGAAGACCTGTTAGCTAGGATCAGTACCAGGTCTCAGTCTGATGACCTGTTAGCTAGGATCAGGACCAGGTCTCAGTCTGATGACCTGTTAGCTAGGATCAGGACCAGGTCTCGGTCTGATGACCTGTTAGCTAGGATCAGGACCAGGTCTCGGTCTGATGACCTGTTAGCTAGGATCAGGACCAGGTCTCAGTCTGATGACCTGTTAGCTAGGATCAGGACCAGGTCTCAGTATGAAGACCTGTTAGGATCAGGACCAGGTCTGGGTCTGATGACCTGTTAGCTAGGATCAGGACCAGGTCTCAGTCTGATGACCTGTTAGCTAGGATCAGGACCAGGTCTCAGTATGAAGACCTGTTAGGATCAGGACCAGGTCTGGGTCTGATGACCTGTTAGCTAGGATCAGGACCAGCATTTCTTTCACATTTGCAGGATTCAGGTAAACTGTCTCTGTTTGGAACCACTTCGATCGCTCCTGGTCTGAACACACCTTTAAGAAGCTGCAGAGGGAAGATTCACACTCATTGGTCCAAAGATTGACCAATCAACCAATCACATCGCAGGCAGGAAAACATGTCAACAATTTCCAAGATACTTTTGGTTTTGGAGAAATGAACCAGGTCACAGACTGTAGATGAGGGGAAAGGAAGTACAAATCTGCTTTGACTGAAACAGAAACCCTCAGAAATCTGAACCATACCAAACTCATGTCACAGTTTCTCTAAAGTAGTGAGTCTTCCCTGAAAAACTCTGAAGCTTCATCAAGATGTGAACAAAGAGTTAAACATGAGACCTGAGCAGCTGAGAGCTCAACGTTCGCAGCACCTGCTCTCTTAAAACCGGACTCTCTATTTTTTAAACTTTTTCCTTTTAAAGGTTTATTTTTGGGCTTTTTAAGCCTTTATTTAGAGACAGGACAGTGGATAGAGTTAGAAATCGGGGGGATAGAGAGAGAGAGAGAGAAAGAGGAGAACGACATGCAGTAAGGGGGTCACAGGTCAGGCCGCCCACTTTGGAGGACTACAGCCTGTATATACATGGGGCATGCACACTAACCACTAGTCTACCTGCGCCCCCCGATTCTTTATTTCTCGTTTTTCATGCTGCAAATGTGGAGAAAAAATTCAGACCTTAAAGGTCCAATCAGTGAGATGTGTAGAGAGTGAGATGATAAAGGTATCTTACTATCTGATCATTAAGGAAACATCTTCTCTGACAACAATGCAGCAGCCAGTATGTCCTCCTTCTAACTTTAGATTCTGCTCCTGAATGCTCTGGATTTGTTTGGACCAGAGAAGGTAGGCGCTTTTAAGACCCCCCCCCCCCACACGGCCGTTTTGCACACCCCTCGGTTTGTCAGATATGAGAGCAGTTATCAGGTCAACAGGTGTTGCAGCGATGGAAGCGGTCAAGAGAAGTGGTTCAGATAGAAGTGATTGTACTCGACCTAAAAAGCCTCTGCATGTTTCTAATAAGCTCCACGAGCAGAAACGTGCTCAAACTAGGATCAATATTGGAGATGCTTTTGAAAAATGGAGAGAGGTTAGAACACAGAAAGGTTTACAGACCCATGCAGAGCTGGATAAACACTGAAGCTTCAGAGTCCACCACATGGTGACCTGAGTGAGCATCCACTCTAGAGGAGGAGGGGAGACAGCTCTCTATGACGTTTAGAATTTAGACTGCAGTACCCATTTTAAACACTAGGGGTCAGAGTTACATACTGCTCCTTTAAAGAAAGAAAACCCTTTGGAGGTTTTCCGGGGTTTTCCAACTGAGAGGAGACGTAGAGGTAGACCCAGAGTTAGCTGGAGGGGTTTTATATCCCGTCTGGCCTGGGGAATGCCTCAGAATCCTGAGGAGGAGCTGGAGATCGTTGCTAGGAAGAGGGGCGTCTGGGTTGACTTATTTCGCCTGCTGCCACCGCAACGCAAACTCAGATAAGCCGAAGATAATGAGTGGATGGAGGAAGATGATTTACACAAACAGCTGTTACATTCCTCTCTACAAACCGACCACACTACATCGATAAAATCAGAAATTTGACCTCACAGGACAGGAGTTGCTGCTCTACTGCTGCACAGATTTGTGTTATTGTGAGTCACACAAACAAACAAAGTGACTACGCAGCGGTACATCAGCCACTCATGATCGCTTAAATTACTATTTTTCTCAATGAAGTTTGGTGGCTTGAAAGAAAGATATTACAGCCTGTTTCACAGCTGCAGGCTCGAACTATCAACTGAAAGCAATTCTAAAACTTCTCTGACCTATTTATTTTAAATTTAAAAACGGTTCCCGGGTGTGAAAACACCAGAACTGTCCTGTTTTTAATTTTGTTTGAATAAGAAGTAAACATGAGTCTTTTAAATGAAACCCTGTGACTGTGATTTCTTCTTGCTCTCGCTGCTGCACGTTGAGTTCTCAGCAGGACCTTTGACCTTTGGTTCTTCAACAAACTGAACGTGACTTGACAGGAATATATCGTTATTATTTATTCATTCAAGGTTACATGTTTGATATCTGAAGCTGTATAAATATTTTTGTGCATCGAGCAGAGAAAGTGCTGCAGCTTTGACTTGTTGTCCATCGAACTGAAGATTCACCTGAGAGCCAACGACAGGTAGGAAGTGACCACACAGATCTACAAACAGCGGAGGCCTTCAAAATAAGAGCCTCGGCGGACACAAATCAACAAAAGCTGTTTCAGAGCTGAAAAGATTACAAAGATTACATCGTGCAACGTTTGAAGTTAAATATGTTGAAATGAAAGATCTGTGGTTATTTGGTGTCTTACAGTCATATTTAAAGCCGTGTTACAATGCTGGATGCTCAAACTAAACGTGGGCTAAGTTTCAGGAGGTAAACGTGTGTTGGAGTAATCCCAGCATGGGTCTGCAGAGGGCGCTAAACAACTCCTCCTGTAAATCACGCCATAGTTCCCCGATATGAAACCAAGATAAGCCTCTGAAACCTCTTACATAGACTCTCTTCTCCCAGCTCTGGAGAGCAGCCCTCGCCTGGCAGCCCTGCAGCGTTCTGCACCCCCGTAACGCTTCCAGAGAGTTGGCCAATCAGAAGAGAGTGGGCATGTGGGGAGACAGCAGCTGAAACAAAGCTGCTCTGAGGGTTTGACAGACTGACGGCATGAGGACGATACTTTTAGTCTTCCATAAACTTCCTGCAGATATTTCACATTAAAAGCCTGCTGAGGATTATGGCTACACACGTTTTTGGACAACTTTAAGGTGAAATATTTGCTCAAGAAGTTTAATGTTACACTGACTGATGAGTAAATATTAAAGGAAAGAGTTGATTATTTAACATGTGATCAAATGATTCTGTTGACTTATGGAGACAAACGGGCGAAAACAAGTAAAACAGGAAACATGACCCAATGACACCTGTGTGTTTATTGCCTCTATATTTATTTATTTTTAAAACTATCAAAATAAATTAAAATTAAAATCTAAAGAGTAACTCTGCTGCCCTCTGGTGGTGAAAGTCTCACACCGTTTGTCACAGTGATGTCACAGTGATGTCATGGGGTGCTGTGACATCACATGTTGTGTCACTTTAACACCTAGCTGACTCGTTCCCGACACTTTTACTGACCGTTTTTTAGACTAAAGTGAGAGCATGTTGGACTTAAGGACTCCTTAAGGATTCTTAAAGAGCTCGTTAAGGACTCCTTAAGGACTCCTTAAGGATTCTTAAAGAGCTCGTTAAGGACTCCTTAAGGATTCTTAAAGAGCTCGTTAAGGACTCGTTAAGGACTCCTTAAGGATTCTTAAAGAGCTCGTTAAGGACTCCTTAAGGATTCTTAAAGAGCTCATTAAGGACTCCTTAAGGACTCCTTAAGGATTCTTAAAGAGCTCGTTAAGGACTCGTTAAGGACTCGTTAAATACTCCCTAAGGACTCTTTAAGGATTGTTAAAGAGCTCGTTAAGGACTCCTTAAGGATTCTTAAAGAGCTCCTTAAGGACTCCTTAAGGATTCTTAAAGAGCTCGTTAAGGACTCGTGAAGGACTCGTTAAATACTCCCTAAGGACTCCTTAAGGATTCTTAAAGAGCTCGTTAAGGACTCGTTAAGGACTCGTTAAATACTCCCTAAGGACTCCTTAAGGATTCTTAAAGAGCTCGCTAAGGACTCCTTAAGGATTCTTAAAGAGCTCCTTAAGGACTCCTTAAGGATTCTTAAAGAGCTCGTTAAGGACTCCTTAAGGATTCTTAAAGAGCTCGTTAAGGACTCGTTAAATACTCCCTAAGGACTCCTTAAGGATTCTTAAAGAGCTCGTTAAGGACTCCTTAAGGATTCTTAAAGAGCTCGTTAAGGACTCGTTAAGGACTCGTTAAATACTCCCTAAGGACTCCTTAAGGATTCTTAAAGAGCTCGTTAAGGACTCGTTAAGGACTCGTTAAATACTCCCTAAGGACTCTTCAAGGATTCTTAAAGAGCTCGTTAAGGACTCCTTAAGGATTCTTAAAGAGCTCGTTAAGGACTCCTTAAGGATTCTTAAAGAGCTCGTTAAGGACTCCTTAAGGATTCTTAAAAAGCTCGATAAGGACTCCTTAAGGATTCTTAAAGAGCACGTTAAGGACTCGTTAAGGACTCGTTAAATACTCCCTAAGGACTCGTTAAGGACTCGTTAAATACTCCCTAAGGACTCGTTAAGGACTCGTTAAATACTCCCTAAGGACTTGTTAAGGACTCGTTAAATACTCCCTAAGGACTCGTTAAGGACTCGTTAAGGACTCGTTAAGGACCTGTAGAACCGTCAAGTCTTCACGTCTCTCTGATCGCCACTCGGACAGGAAGCTAAAGGGTTGTGCTGTTATACTGCAAAGGGTGGTCCAGCTCTTTGGTTTGAAACCAAAGAGCTCAGTCTCTGGTGCGACCTGAACCCGTCAGTCCCTCCGTCACACGTCGCCCACGTCAAACACCCTCATCAGCAGGTCTAGGTCCCCCACGCTGGCCGCCTGGAACAGCTCGGGTCGGTCCATCATGGAGACGGCGATTCGCAGGGCGGCCCAGATGTTAGCCGACATCTGTTGCTGGCTGCAGCGTTGACTCCGCCTCTGCTGGTTCAGAGCCGTCAGGAAGTTACTGACCGCCTCCCTGCAGGAGCAAAAACATCCACCATTTATCTAGATGTTATACATCTATACTATATTCTCAGCTCAGGTGTGTTACCTACCTCTCAGCTCAGGTGTGTTACCTGTGTGCTCAGATGTGTTACCTGTGTTCTCAGGTGTGTTAACTGTGTGCTCAGGTGTGTTACCTGTCAGCTCAGGTGTGTTACCTGTGTGCTCAGATGTGTTACCTGTGTTCTCAGGTGTGTTAACTGTGTGCTCAGGTGTGTTACCTGTCAGCTCAGATGTGTTACCTGTGTTCTCAGGTGTGTTAACTGTGTGCTCAGGTGTGTTACCTGTGTGCTCAGGTGTGTTACCTGTCAGCTCAGGTGTGTTACCTGTGTGGTCAGGTGTGTTACCTGTGTGGTCAGGTGTGTTACCTGTGTGCTCAGGTGTGTTACCTGTGTGGTCAGGTGTGTTACCTGTCAGCTCAGGTGTGTTACCTGTGTGGTCAGGTGTGTTACTTGTGTGCTCAGGTGTGTTACCTGTGTGGTCAGGTGTATTACCTGTCAGCTCAGGTGTGTTACCTGTGTGCTCAGGTGTGTTACCTGTAAGCTCAGGTGTGTTACCTGTGTGCTCAGGTGTGTTACCTGTGTGCTCAGGTGTGTTACCTGTGTGCTCAGGTGTGTTACCTGTAAGCTCAGGTGTGTTACCTGTCAGCTCAGGTGTGTTACCTGTGTGCTCAGGTGTGTTACCTGTGTGCTCCCAGGTTTATGCAGCTGATCCCCAGGTTGTATCTGGACCGGATGAATCCGGGCTGCAGCTCTAGAGCTCGGGTGTAGGCCTCCACCGCCTCTTCGCTGCGGTCGCCGTTTGCCAATGTGGCGCCCAGACGGTTCCACAGCAGGTAATCCTGAACAGACAGGAAGTCATGACATCATCACATAATGTTTACAGCTAAGCTAAGTTTGGTGACAATTTTAAATATCAACAACTTCAGATTATTTAAGGGCCCCTCCCCCCCGTGAACTACGCCATGTTTAATGACCTGCGGTCTGACGGACAGCGCTGCGGTGAACGCTTCCACCGCCTTGTTAAAGTCCGAGCTCAGGTTAAAGAGAACTCCCAGACCGGTCTGCAGGTCTGGATCCACACAGTCCACATTCAACAGAGCCGCGTCCTGGAACAGGTGCAACACGTCCTGCAGGCCGGACCTACACACACAGACACAGACACACACACACACAGACACAGACACACACACACACACACACACACAGACACAGACACAGACACACACACACACACACACACACACACACACACACAGACAAAGACAAACACACACACACAGACACACACACACACACACACACAGACAAAGACAAACACACACACACAGACACACACACACACACACACACACAGACACACACACACACACAGACACACACACACACAAACACACACACACAGACACACACACACACAGACACACACACAGACACACACACACACACACACACACACACACACACAGACACACACACACACACACACACACACACACACACACACAGACCACACACACACACAGACACACACACACACACACACACACACACACACACACACACAGACACACACACAGACACACACAGACACACACACAGACACACACACACACACACACACAGACACACACACAGACACACACACACAAACACACACACACAGACACACACACACACAGACACACACACAGACACACACACACAC